GCCCGGAGTTTGTTTGTCAGACGACAAGAGCTCTGCTTTTACGTGGAGAGCTCTCAGGGATTTGAGGATCATTAAAGCCAGAAACTGCTGAAGGGGCGGGAGAAAGACAAGATTGAAGGGGAGGCCTGGAAGGAAAAGGACCAGGTGTTGTGTGCGAAGAGAGGCCACCGACAGGGAGAAACGCAAATGGACGTACAGCGTGGCAGAAGGGAAAACAAGTGTAAACAATGAAAAGCTCCTGGCGAAACGTAATCGTTTGCTGAAGTCCTGCGTGAAAAAACGTCCAGGTCGTTCCCTTAAGCCGGTCCAGGGCGCTGGAGAGGAGCCGAAGGAGCGCAGGTCAATGGGACCAGGGCCCGCGGCCGAGCAGGAGGCGCGCGGTGGCCAGCCCGGCCAGCAGGTGGCAGTGTCGCCCCGCTCCCACCACCTCCTCTCCTCTGCAAAGGTGAGTTCTGGGGAGTCCCCACTTTTCTTCCTTCCTGGATAGCATGGTCTTGAGAGTCGCCTGTGGGTCCAGCCTGTGCTTGGTGGTTGTGGAGGCAGCGTGGCTGCTGGACGAATGGTACCTGGGAAGTACCTGGAGAGATTGCCTAGTGAGCCTGGACTCCTCCCGGACCTGGTCTACTGGGCTGGTGGTGAGACAGGGCTGGGGGCTCTCAGCTTGATGAAAGGCAAGGGGGGCACCCCCTAAAGGGGTTTCAGGCAGTTCCTAATATGCAAATAACTCCACTTCCCAAGGTCCTTCTGACTGTGGGTACTTTCCACGGGCAGTGAGAACAGGCTGTTTCGATTCCAGTGTTACGTGGGGAAGTTAGGTTCCCAGGCCAGCCCACAGAAGCCTGTTTATTCTTTATTACAGCAAATCGCAGGGCGCTGAGAAGGCAAGGACTAGAAAACAAAGGTTTTGGGGTGTTGTGATTTAAATAAGAGAAGGTAACAGAACGGAATGAAAATGCTTCTCCATGTTGGTAGGTGAAGACAATTAGCTTTAATCAGAGAGCGCTAACGAGAAAGATGCGGGTTGATGTGGAACCTCTAAAGGAGACATCTGGGCACTCGAGTTCTTTGTTGCACCAGGTGCGCCTGCAGGTGAACACGAAGGAGCCCAAACCAGCACAGGGCAGGGCCCTGGGGGAGGCGTTTGAGACTCTGCTCCGTTCCAGGTCTGGGGAGCTGTGTGCCTCCTCTGGGCCTTGTTTCTTTGTAAAATGGCACCACCCCTGGTTTACACCCTGCATCGGTCGCCGCAGGGATCAAATGGGGTCCCGAGATGCTCTGTGTGTTATACAGTCCAGCCAGCCCTAAGGTCTCCGGGCCATGAATGGCCAGCAATGGGAGCAATGGGATTATCATGGTTCACTAATGGAAGAAAGAGAAAGAGCAGCATGAGAAACAGAGGCTATTAAAGGTGAAGGAGAATCTGTGCATTTAGGAACCGATTTCCTTGGGGAATGTAGGAATTGAGCTGTAAGTAATGGAAGACAGGAACAGATAAGGCATGGGGGATGCCTGCCAGGGCAGCATTTCCCAAACAGTGTTCCTTGGAACCCTTGCTCCTCCAGGTGTGCTGAAAGAGGAGGTTTCATGGTCCAATCTGCTTGGGAAGACTGAGTTCAGCAGAGTGGCACCTGTTTCTATTATTGAACCTGTTAGACGCTAATGTGATCCACGTGTGCGGATCTCAAGCAGCGGGATAGTCGCATATCTGACCATAGCATTTGTTTGTTTTCTGAGTATCTAGAATCAAACGTAATTCAGAGACCACTAGCATTTACGTAGAGCGGTGATTTTCAACTGGTGTGCTGCAACAATTTAAAAAATATGCAATACCTGACCAGTCAGGACACTGACCTTTTCCCCGTAGATTGGCAAATAAAAAAAATGACAACAGCCAACACAACAATGGTGGTCTGGTGTGCCCGGCACAGGGCAAAAAACATCAAAAATGCTCACGGAATAAACATGGTCACCCTGAGTGACGTGGCCTAGGTATTTGAAAACATCTCTTTGAACCTAAGACAGAGACCAAAAGCTGTGTTGAAGTGACTATTTCAGTCTTGTAATCCTGCAACTTTGAATTTGGTAATAATACTGGGATCAAAGGTCCAGGAGCCAGCACAGAGGGTTCCTGTGATTTGGGAGTTGTGGCATTGTCCAAACCCATATCCACCCCAAGGTCAGGGCCAAGGCTGGGCAGGTGGAGCTGATGGCCTCCCCTCAGGTGTCGGCAGCTGGAAGAGTGTGGGAGGGAGTCCTCCGGAAGTCCTGGAATCTGTGGGGATGGGCAGGAACCCACCAGAACTCCAGACACTCCCCTGCAGTGGGGGGCAGGCAGAGGCCTTCCTTCCTCAGCCCTTGTCTGCGACTTTGAATTTGGTAATAATACTGGGGTCAAAGGTCCAGGAGCCAGCACAGAGGGTTCCTGTGAGTTGAGAGTTATGGCATTGTCCAAGCCCATATCCACCCCAAGGTCAGGGCCAAGGCTGGGCAGGTGGAGCTGATGGCCTCCCCTCAGGTGTCGCCAGCTGGAAGGGTGTGGGAGGGAGTCCTCGGGAAGTCCCGGAATCTGTGGGGATGGGCAGGGGGCAGGAACCCACCAGAACTCCAGACACTCCCCTGCCGTGGGGGGCAGGCAGAGGCCTTCCTTCCTCAGCCCTTGCTGATGGCCAGTGTGTTGACCCCGACCCCCACGAGCTTCTGGACCCTGCTGTCCAGGGTGGTAGCGATTGGCTGCATGTGGCTGCTGAGTGATTGGAACCTGGAGGGTGTAACTGGGCTCCTGCACCTTTACTGCCATTACCTTTCATTGTAAGAGCTGGATGTGGCGGACAGTGTAGATCTGGGACTAGTCCATCGTTCCTGGTCCTGGTGCACAGCCCTGTGCTAGATGGTTTGATGACCAGCTTAGCATCACCGAGGGAGGGATCAGGAGCATCTAAGCCAGTGGTTCTCAACCTTCTGGCCCTTTAAATACAGTTCCTCATGTTGTGACCCAACCATAAAATTATTTTCGTTGCTACTTCATAACTGTAATGTTGCTACTGTTATGAATTGTAATGTAAATATCTGATATGCAGGATGGTCTTAGGCGACCCCTGTGAAAGGGTTGTTCGATGGCCAAAGGGGTCGCGACCCACAGGTTGAGAATCGCTGAATTCTAAGCCATTGCATTTCATATGAGGCAAAGCTATGGCCAACTCTGAAAAAGACGGATATTTATACACACATACACATGTCTCTCTAGGATTTTGACTTCCCCCCCTCCCAGGACCTGAGTGGACTCATGAGTCTGTTATTGTGTGGTTTGTGCTGTTATCCCCTTTTTCCTTGAGGAAGACATTGCCCAGCCTCCTGTAGGGAGCCTCTCTAGGTGCTGCCCGGGTGCCTCTGATGCCTGGACCCCCAGGCAGCTGCTCTGCAGGGCAGGGGCTGAGGGGGGTGGGGACAGTGCCCAGAGGGAGTCCCTGCATTCGTCAATCCATCCGTCATTCCTGAGTGAGTGACGTCTGGGAGAGGTCATATCGAATGTCAAGAAAGGAACTGTCTGGCTCCAGCAAGGAAGGAGGCCAGGCGGGGCTTTTATTTTTTAAAGTATTTTATTAAATCAGTTTTTCTGTTGATGTGTTTGAATTTTTCAGAAAAAAAAATACTGACAAATACTGTACAATTTGGACCACTATATTCTTCTTGAAAAGGTGACTACCCTTTCTCCATAGCCTTCCCTCACCCCCAAGAAACAGGAGAGCGAATCCCTGGAGAGCAGCAGCAGCAGCAGGGGAAGACCTGCTCTGACAGGGGCCGTGCTGGCTGGAGCTGGGTACACATCGAGGGGCTCCCCAGGCCTGTGCTGGGGGAGGAAGCCCCTTCCTTACTCCCTCGTTGTCCTTCATTAGCTTAAACCCCCCGAGAGGGGCCAGGCAGGCTCCCCTTAGAGGCACCCCTGTTGCCAGAGGCAGTTCTGGGACAGAGGCTGGGAAGGAAAGGAGCGAAAATGGAGATGAAGGAAGGGATGGAGCCAGGACAAGAGGGGATGGAGAAGATGAGAGAGAGAGAGAGATGATGCCTTGGGCTCCTTTCATGCCCCTTTATTCAACAGGCATGTGAGGGCCTCTCCTGCCCCTGGCACTGTTGTAGGTACCCCAGGGAGGGTCATGGGGGAGGCTGGGTGGGGAAAAGAGAGGCCTCGCTCAGGGCTTGGGTGTCCTGGGTCTGAGGCTTTGGAAGCAGCTGAGAGGTGCATCCTGGTGTTTCGTGGCCGGAGCTGGAGCAGATGCACTAGATTAGGAGACAGCAGCAGGGCCCTGCTGGAGATGGAGGCCTTGTCGTGGAGGTGACAAACACTGCTCTCTTAATTCAAATGAGCAGCCAGTTGCCACGGCAACCACCATCCCGGTGATCTGCTCTCTGGGATCATATCTAACACCAGCCTCAGCCGCCAGCCCCCCCACGTCTGCCCAACTCATCCATCCAGGGGACTGCGAGGTACAGACGGGAAGGCCGGTGTCCTGGGCAGCGGGAGACGTGGGGAGATGACTGGCCGTCCTGTGATGCCCTGGGGACAGTCAGCTCCTCTGTGACAGGCTCTTCCTGTGGCACGGGGACAGGGAATCAGAGGGTGTAGCTTCTCTGGTCACAGGGGTTTAGGAGCCA